GGCTGGTCTCGAACTCCTGACCTCAAGTGATCCACCCGTCTTGGCCTCCCAAAATGCTGGAATTACAGGCGTGAGCCACCATGCCTGGCTGAGAACGTCTTTTAATTTATGAGGGTAACATCCAATAGCCGAATTCTTCAATTCTCAGCCCCAAGATTGTTAGGACCTTCTAATGTGTTCTCAGGACCCCTCACTACCCCTTGCCCTTTGAATCTTTCTGAGTTGATACAATACCATGGTAGCGACATTAAGAGTAAAGACACCAGAAAATAATTCTTCCCATGGGAACAAACTAAAACCCTGCTTAGACCCATAAATTCTAACACAAACTGGAAAAACAAGCAAACCTGGAATTACAGCCCATCATTCCGTCTGGGGCTCCTAGAGACCACATGTGGTTGTTTGTGGCCCAGGGAATGCCTGCAGCTTTTCAGCTGAATTATAGGCCTGGTGTTTGGCAGCTGCGCTGTCTGTTTTATGCCATGATGAACCTGCTAAATTTAACCTTTGGAATATTTTAGCCAAGGACTTTTTCTCCTGACCAGTGGAACACTTTTTTAAAAAATTCCTTTTCAGATTCCAAGTTATACTTGAATCAAGAGAAGAAATTTATAAATTTAAGAGTATAATCTAGACAGAATCGAAAGTACAACAAATTTTATGCCTTTGTGTGTGTGATTCCTACAACTTGAATGTATGTCTTTTTCAGTGTTTCATTTGGGATATTTTTGAGATGAGCAAAGCAATGAAGTCTTGCTGTTTGGTTAACCAGAATGGATAGTGCAAATTTATCTTCAAGTGTTGTCCCGTGTTGTATACAAGCTATAGATGCATATCTGTTGTATATGTTGAATATTTTTCAAGCTTGTAGTCACATTTTTCTCCCTTAGGAAGCACAGGAGATAGATTTTAGTGCTTTGCTGTAAATAATTTGCCTGGCCTACCTTTACATATGGGTGTCATTTTTTCACTTAAACATCCCATTGGATACCAACTACTTTCCCCTCTGCCTTGAATGGTAGGAGTGCGTATGTATTTTGTGTCTTATACGCCCCGAACAGGAGAAGGATACCCTAGCATCTCTTTCATACTTGATAGCTCTGATATTTCGTAGTTGGTCAGCAAATGCTGGATGGATGCCTGTTTGTTCATGGTCACTTTCCTGATGCCTTGTTCTGCTTGATTTTTCTTGAGTTGTTTCGTTTTGTTTCATTTTGTATTTGTTTTTTTGTGAGACAGAGTCTTGCTCTGTCACCCAGGCTGGAGTGCAGTGGAACGATCATGGCTCACTGGAGCCTTGGCCTTCTGGGCTCAGGTGATACTCCTGCCTCAGCCTCCCAAGTAGTTGGGACTACAAGCATGTACCACTACACCCAGCTAATTTTTTATTTTTCGTAGAGATTGGGCCTCGGTAAGTTTCCCGGGCTGGTCTCAAATTCCGGGGCTTCAGCCATCCTCCCACCTTGGCCTCCCAAAGTGCTGGAATCACAAGCATGAGCCACCATGCCCAAACATGTTTTCCTTTATTTTCTGATTGTGATGAGGCTGGGTGTGAGAGTACTCATTTGAAATGAAGATGGAAGAGTTCTCTGGTCAAAATAGTTTTCTACTTTAAGCAGTTATTTTTCATTTCCAACTCTCCTGTGGTTTTATTGACTTGAGTAGAAATGCTGTTAGGTGGTTGAAAACCCCATCCTGAGAATATATAGAAAAAAACAGACATCTAGACCAGGCACAATGGCTCATGCCTGTAATCCCAGCACTTTGGGAGGCTGAGGTGGGTGGATCACCTGAGGTCAGGAGTTCAAGACCAGCCTGGCCAACATGGTGAAACCCCACCTCTACTAAAAATACCAAAAATTAGCTGGGCATGGTGGTGCATGCCTGTAATCCCAGCTACTTGGGAGGCTGAGGCAGGAGAATCACTTGAACCTGGGAGGCAGAGGTTGCAGTGGCCAAGATCGTGCCATTGTACTCCAGCTTGGGCAACAAGACAGAAACTCCATCTCAAAAAAAAAAATAGACATCTAAATAGACATCTAGTGTCCATTCCAGTATGATACTCTTCCATTACATGTTGAGTATCCCTTACCCAAAATGCTTGGGACTGGAAGTGTTGTTGTTTTTGGAGTTTGGAATATTTGCATTAGACTTACCAGTTAAGCATCCCTAATCTGAAAATTCAGAATGTTCCAGTGAGCATTTCCTTTGAGCATCATGTCGGTTCTCAAAAAGTTTTTAATTTTGAAGCATTTCAGATTTTTTTGGATTGTGGATGCTAAACCTGTATTGATCTTCTTACCTTGAAATTTATTTATTTATTTTTTGAGGTGGAGTCTCACTCTGTCGCCCAGGCTGGAGTGCAGTGGCACGATCTCAGCTCACTGCAAGCTCTGCCTCCTGGGTTCACGCCATTCTCCTACCTCAGCCTCCCGAGTAGCTGGGACCACAGGCGCCCGCTACCAAGCCCGGCTAGTTTGTTTGTATTTTTAGTAGAGACGGGGTTTCACCATGTTAGCCAGGATGGTCTTGATCTCCTAACCTCGTGATCCGCCCAACCTTGGCCTCCCAAAGTGCTGGGATTACAGGCATGAGCCACCGAGCCCAGCCGAAATTTATTTTTTAAACAGAAAAAGCACCTGAATGTTCCCTAGTTTATAAATAATATCTTAAGTAAGGATCTTTGATACAAGTATTTTGGGTAGAACTGAGGATTTTATTATTTGCTGTTAAATTCTCAAGGAACTCATTCATCATTGTCAAATGTCTATAAAGGTCTATGGGACCTGGAGAAAAGGCCGTCCATTGACCTAAAGTTAGAACATAATAGAGCACTTAAAGGCATTTACAGGTACTTTATCTGCTGGTTCTCACTTTATTCTTTGGTAATGAAACCGACATTTATCCCTAAGAAGTAATCAAATTAAAAGCAAAGGTGCTTAGAGATGTTATTTTCACAGATTACGTGCAGTAGAGCACTATTGCTTTGCCAGTACGAGGTTGGCCTCTCCTTCACAGTTGTTCTCTCTTCCCCACAGCCAGTGGTTCAGCGTGCTGAGTCAGGTCCACGCGTCCACAGACCAGGAGATCCAGGAGATGCATGATGAGCAGGCAAACCCACAGAATGCTGTGGTATGGGAGCACTACCTAGGAGGGGGGTGGGGCGTCTGGGGGCAGGGATGGGGAGGGCGTCAGGATGGTAAAAAAAGGGAAAGATTGGGAATTTCCAGACAGTCTTTTTTTTAAAAGGTAAATGTAGAATAATTAAGGAGAAAAACAGGACCATTTGAGTTTAAAATCAATACAATAATAAATACAATAAATAGTACAATATAATACAATAATAAATATAGTAAATTAAGTTGGACACGGTGGCTTATGCCTGTAGTCCCAGCACTTTGGGAGGCTGAGGTGGATCACTTGAGGCCAGGAGTTCGAGACCAGCCTGAGAAACATAGCAAGACACTGCCTCTATGAAAAAAATTAACAGTTATCCAGGCGTGGTGTTATGTGCCTGTAGTCCCAGCTGCTTGGCAGGCTGAGGCAGGAGGATTGCTTGAGCCTGAGAATTTGAGGCTACGATTGCGCCACTGAACTCCAGCAGCCTGACCCTGTCTCCTAAAAAAACAAACAACAAAACCAAATAAATTGTAGAAGGTTATAAGTAGTAAAACCTTCCAATTCTCCCACCTCAAACCCAAAAGAACAAAAGAAATAATCCTACTTTTTATGAAGTCACGGAAACACACATTACACTTACTCTTCAAAGGACGGTGAAATCTAAATCTAGATTGTATTCTTTTTTTTTGAGATGGAGTCTTACTCTGTCGCCCAGGCTGGAGTGCAGTGGCGAGATCTCAGCTCACTGCAACCTCCACCTCCAGGTTCAAGCAATTCTCCTGCCTCAGCCTCCTCAGTAGCTGGGACTACAGGCGTATGCCGCCACACCCGGCTGATTTTTTGTATTTTAGTAGAGACGGGGTTTCACCATGTTGCCCAGGCTGGTCTCGAACTCCTTAGCTCAGGCAATCTGCATGCCTCAGTCTCCGAAAGTGCTGGGATTACAGGCGTGAGCCACTGCGCTGGGCTGAAATCTAAATTGTATTCTTTGTCTTCCCTCTATCCCAGACACATACGCAAAGTTACAAAACCCTACTTTGGAAATCACGTTTTATTTCCTCATGAGAAAAACTTGAAATAAAGTTTCTTGGGAGAAGAAGTGTAAAATTTAATCAATGGACACAATAAAATCAGGAAATGCGTACTATTGAAAGAAGGTTATAAACACTAGTCACTGAGCTTGTCTTAAGAATAAGGGGGGGCTGGGCGAGGGAGCTCAGACCTGTAATCCCAATACTTTGGGAGGTCAAGGCACATGGATCACTTGAGGCCGCCAGGAGTTTGAGACCAGCCTGGCCAACATGGTGAGACCCCATCTCTACTAAAACACAAAATTATCCAGGTGTGGTGGCCCACACTTGTAGTCCTAGCTACTTGGGAGGCTGAGGCACGAGAATCACTTGAACCTGGGAGGCAGAGGTTGCGGTGAGCCAAGATCACACCATCGCGCTCCAGCCTGGGCAACAGAGTGAAACTCCGTTTCAGAAACAAACAAAGTAAATTAAATTAATGTAGAGGTACTTGTTAGAAAGTTTAGTAAAATAGTAATTTTTAAAAAACATAGAAATAAATTATTGAAAGGACAAGAGGGAATGATTAACTCGTAATTTTTAAAAATAAATGGGCTATAGATTCTGCCCTGTGTAGAGGCTATTTGTACTCACACAACAGAGGAGTCATCTCATAGATGACTATTATTTTGAAGTTAAAAAGAAAAGAACCTTTTCTGTCTGATTGGGAGTTGTGGGCTAGAGGTGTTACTATAGTGTGCACCCTACTTTAGTGGTTCTCTCATTCTCTTTTTTTGTTCTTTTACAGGGCACCTTGGATGTGGGGCTGATTGATTCTGTGTGTGCCTCTGACAGCCCTGATAGGTAAGCTCAGATGTGGCTCTTAATAAAAACAGCTCATCACCTGTGTGTGTCCACAGGTGTCTGTGCTGCTAGGTTACGTCCCTCTTCGCAGGGCTGTGAAATCACACGAGGCTGTGTGTTCCCATCTTGTCAACCCCAACAATCCAAAGTCTGCCTTCTTGGTACCCAATTTTACATCATCTGGAAGCCTCCTTCTCTGGGTATCTTTGGAGTCCTGGGGAAAACCCTGGGAACCTAATTTAGACAATTTAAAAAAGCATGAGGAATAAATATTTTTCATGTGTATACAGGGACAAACTTGGGATTTATACGGGAAGAAAATACCTGTTTAGGAAAATGATATTCCAGCAAAGGGGAAGGGAGTCATTCTCCTTTCTGAACTTAACAATGAACTTGGAAAGGATTTTGATGATAATGTATATGTAGAGTATTAATAAACCACAAACATTTCTTTTCCTTGACATTTCTTCTTTCTTGGCACCCTTTTTGGGTTCGATTTTTGAAAGCAAATCATCTTTGGAGATGATCTGAGGCGTCTTTCTGCCCAGTGAACTTTATTGTCTCTGTTTTTCTGTATTATCTTGTAAGTTCTAGTTCTGGCCTGCAGCAGAATTTAAGAAAAGTTTCTCTAGGACAGACCAGGAAAGAATCAAAATTGTCTTCTGCCCTCCATAAGACAGCCGGAAAATGAATACGAGTGTGTTAAAATTGACAACAAAATATAGGGCCTACTTGGCAGAATTAGAGCCGTGGGGTCTCTGTCACCCTCCCGTTGACAAAGGCCCTTCTGAACCATGGGTCCTTTGTTTTTAGTAGTCAGCCTGCACCCCTTATACCTGGCTCAATCTTTAACATGTATGTGTCATATCAGTAATCAAAGCCCTGATGCTTCTTATTCTGGTATTTATTCTGGTATGTGAGTTTCTACCTCACCTTCTCCACGTCTTCGCGCTCCCAAGCCCTTCACTCCTCCAGGCTGGGCCTGTGATGATCCATCCTTAGAATTTTGCATCCTCGTTCAGGCTTTTCTGTCTTCCTCAACTGGCCACTTTTCTCCCTTTCCAACTATAGAAAAAAAGGGTTGGGTTATTTTTTATTTTTAAGGGGCACCTCAGGTTCAGCCTGTTTGTATAGTTTTCCCTGTGTCCTGCAGTTCAGTGACTCTTTTTCTTAAACTTCTGTGTCACTTAACTACAGTGAACATTTGAAGGCTTGCAAGAAAGAGTTCACATTTGCTAGCGTAAGCCGTTAGATAGAGGAGTTAGTATTTATATCAGCAAGGGCCTATGAGAGAGGTTCAGGGCATTTCCAGACAAAAAGAGGCGAGGGAGAAAGTAAATTTCCATGATCACGTTATCCATGACTAGGAAATGCACCCTTGTTAGATCGCTTTGAAAACACAGACCCAGGTGGCTTTTTGTACAAAGCGTAATCAAGCATTTAAGATGTTCCACCTACACCTATTTACTGATCCTCTTTTATTGCTGGTGTCTGACATTTCATTACCAACCCAGAGAAATATTAGCCAAGGCAGGAAAAAATTGACTTTGGAGAGGCATCAAAAAAAAAATTTTCCCTCGTGGTCACCCTATTTAGCCTTCCCGGAACTGAGTTTCATCTGGAAAGTTTTGCATGAAGAAATGTTTTCCCTTCCAGGACCTTCAGAATGAATGTGTCGTTCCAAGTTTAAAGGTTAATGATGCGTAAAAGAAATTCTGCAGAAATGAGCAAGGTTTGCCTTAATAAAAACATGAATAAGCCTAGCAGTGTATGTCCCGTGACCCAGGAGGCAGGAAGGCGGCCCTGAGTCTCAGTTCACACAGAGGTGATGCTGACGGTAGACCTAAGGGGCTTTGTTTCCTTCTCACCTTATCGCTCAGACCCAACTCATTTGTCATCATCACGGCCAACCGGGTGCTGCACTGCAACGCCGACACGCCGGAGGAGATGCACCACTGGATAACCCTGCTGCAGCGGTCCAAAGGGGACACCAGAGTGGAGGGCCAGGAATTCATCGTGAGAGGTGACTGCCTGCCCTGCTTCCTTGGTCTGTTTAACAGGCTCCCCTTTCCATTTACATATCGATATCTGCAGCATTTTCATTTTGAGCTGCTTTTCTCATTTTGACTGTTGGAGATTAAGTGATTTTTAATTTGTGACATCATAAATTGTTTCTAGAGGATTGTGTTTTTTGTTGCTAGTTGTGATTTTGTGCTTTTCTTTGGCATAGTTCCATTTACATCGAGTCGGGGTGACCGTGGTCTTTTTCTGACAAGTAGCTAGAAACCCCATCCGTGTGTTGGCATTATGTGGATGATGGTAGGGTCTTTGGGGTTTCTCCTCATCGATTTTAATTTACACTTTCATCTTTTTTTCCAGGATGGTTGCACAAAGAGGTGAAGAACAGTCCAAAGATGTCTTCACTGAAACTGAAGAAACGGTGGTTTGTGCTCACCCACAATTCCCTGGATTACTACAAGAGCTCAGAGAAGAATGCGCTGAAACTGGGGACCCTGGTCCTCAACAGCCTCTGCTCTGTCGTCCCCCCAGATGAGAAGATATTCAAAGAGACAGGTAACCAGGCTGGCTGCCCGAACCCTGAGCATCAGATCTTAAAGTCTGGGCTTGCTCCAGGCAAGGAATAAGATTCCTTCCTAGTGTCTACTTTATTTCCCCCCCAAAGAAGGTGTCTTCTTGGTTTATCTTCTAAGCCTGTCTGGGGTTAGCTATGTGACCACTTAGTGTTTAAGCCGTACGAGAGGTCTTGATTCATGGAGTGGTAGGAAGACTCTCACAAGGACAAGAAAATGTCAACAGATGCAGGGCGTCGTACAGGAAGCTTTGTTTTCATATACTCTGTTTTCATCCTTTTTAGTTTTTATTACTATTTTTCAGACAGGGTCTCACACTGTTGCCCAGGCTGTAGTGCAATGGTGCGATCATGGTTCACTACAGCCTTCCAAGGCTGAAACAATCCTCCCACCTCAGCCTCCTGAGGAGTAGCTAGGACTCCAGGCACGCACCATCGCACTGGCTAATTTTATACTTTGTGGGGGAGGTTTTGCCATGTGGGCCAGGCTGTTTTCCATCATTGTATGATGAGCGTCCTATACAACCTGTAAAAGATAAACCCTGACTCTCCATGAACTTAGCCTGGTAGCATAGAAAGCACACATGTAAATTAGAGGATTTCTTTTCATTTTTGTAGTATTATAAAAGCGTTTCCAGAAGATGGTTTATTTTGATGTTGGTGGTTGTGATCTTGTGCTTCTGTGTTTAACATAGTTGTTCCATTTGCGTCAGGTTTGGGTGATGGTTCGGACAGTTTGCCTCTGAACTCACACACTGCCAGGCACAAGTGCTGTCTTCTGAAGGGAGAGGCTAAGGAAAGGAAAGGAAGAAATAGGAAGTAAGAAGGAAAGTCAGAAATCGGAGAGAGTTTTCACTCCTGTTCCAGAGCCCAGAAAGAGACATTAACTTACCCTTTTCCCTTCCAGAGCCAGTTATCATTTATCTTCATATATTTAATGATGGGTTTATTGTTCTAATATTCATCTCCCCATCTCAGCTGTAAATGTCACAGTGCAAGAGACACTGTTTTTTCTTCATCACTAGATACCTAGTGCAGGGCAGGGCAGGACAGGACACATGTAGGAATTCAGCCAGTGTCTATTGAATTGAATAATTAAAGGGACTGAGGTCAGAGAGGACACAGGCATTGCCCCGGTCCCCGAGGTTGGCGTTGACATGCGTGTGCTGGGCACCCCTGCCATTGCAGGCTACTGGAACGTCACCGTGTACGGGCGCAAGCACTGTTACCGGCTCTACACCAAGCTGCTCAATGAGGCCACCCGGTGGTCCAGTGCCATTCAAAACGTGACCGACACCAAGGCCCCGATCGACACCCCCACCCAGCAGCTGATTCAAGACATCAAGGTAAGACAAGCCCATCAAGGTGGGTGATTACAGCTCAGAGCTTCTACCCTTAGAGCACTAAGACCTCAGCATTAGTGAAGCTCAATTTTCATTCTGTAATCAAAATTAGTGCTTGGTTGGCCGGCACGGTGGCTCACGCCTGTAATTCCGGCACTTTGGAAGGCTGAGGCAGGTAGATCACTTGAGGTCAGGAGTTCGAGACCAACCTGGCTAACATGGTGAAACCATGTCTCTACTAAAAATACAAAAATTAGCCAGGTGTGGTGACACATTCCTGTAATCCCAGCTACACAGGAGGCTGAGGCAGGAGACTTACCTGAACCTCGGAGACAGAGGTTGCAGTGAGCAGAGATCATTCCACTGTACCCCAGCCTGGGCGACAGAGGGAGACTCTGTCTCAAAAACACAAAACAAAAAACTAGCGCTTGGTTTTGTGTTTGAGTACCCTGCTTTCAGGAATCTAAATGAGAAATTTTAGACTAAAAGTGTTTTGTCTCTAGGGCAGTGTTAGATGTTTCCTAACACTTCCCTAGCGTCGAGTCACCCGATCCTACCTGCTGGGCTCTGTGGGCAGAAGGACGAGGTCTGCAGCTTGCACTGTGGGACTCCGTGCCCATGGGGATGTGGTGACCTGCGTGGGGGACCACATGCCTTGTGTCAGGTTTCACCTCAGCCTCAGTTGGGGACCTTCTAGGAGTAACCCGCTAGTTCCACTGTCACTGTACAGTTTCCAGACCACACGAGTGAGTTCCCAAGGAGCCCTGGGTGGTCTAGAAGAACACTTGGCATCCCTCTCGGGCATGTGCAAACTCCCAGAAGCTCCTGAGTCTCTATATTAACACTGAGTGTGTTAAATTATAAATTCCTGTTTATAAGTAAGTGTAGTGGCTCAGTAAATGTATGTGAGGTGAAGGAATGAATGGTTGCATGGCAACCCTGAGCGGGGATTCTTACCCTCACTTTCCGGAAATGGAACGCTAACGGGGAATGTTGTGGTTGCATTGCCCACGTAGCTGGTCAGTCCCAGGTGCAGAACCAAGTCAAGGGAGACTGCTGGCCCTCCAAGCAGTCCTGCAGGCAGATTCCCAGGACAAAGGACAGAGGTGGTACTGTGACAGAGAAGGTGCTAGAATGATGGTGAGGCAGGTATTTTACTGAGGGACAGCAAAGGAAATTAGCTAACCAGATCCAAGAGGGAACTCAGCTTTTGTGGAGGTGGGAGAGGATCTAATCCATCAGTGGTAGATAATTTTCCATCAAAATCAAATTGGCCTCCTGATTCCAAAGTGTTATGTTCTCTGGGTGTTCGGAACCAGATTCTGGCAAGCCAGTTTTTTGTTTGTTTTGAGATGGAGTCTCACTTGTCACTGAGGCTGGAGTGCAGTTTTATGATCTCGGCTCACTGCAGCCTCCGCCTCCTGGGTTCAAGCAATTCTCCTGGCTTAGCCTCCTGAGTAGCTGAGATTACAAGCACCCACCACCATGTCCAGCTAATTTTTGTATTTTTAGTAGAGACGGGGGTTTCACCATGTTGGCCAGGCTGGACTCCAACTCCTGACCTCAGGTGATCTGCCCACCTCAGCCTCCCAAAGTGCTGAGATTACAGGTGTGAGCCACGGGGACCAGCCTTGAGCCACCACATCCAGCCCAGTTGTTATCCAACATTCCACTGCTTTCCATGCACCCCAGGGAGCTGGCTACACATAATTTCATTTTTAGCCTTAAAAATTACTTTTTGAAGATTTCTTCTGAAAGGAGTAAAAGTATCATGTATCAGCCAAACTCAATCTTCAAAGCTGGAACTTACCTGTTTTTGTATTCTTCAGTTTGAATTCAGACATTAAGAGTAAATACGATTTTTCAGCCAGGCACGGTGGCTCACGCCTATAATCCCAGCACTTTGGGAGACCGAGGCGGGTGGATCACCTGAGGTCAGGAATTCGAGACCAGTCTAGTCTGGCCAACATGATGAAACCCTGTCTCTACTAAAAATACAAAAATTAGCTGGACATGGTGGCAGGTGCCTATAGTCCCAAATACTTGGGAAGCTGAGGCAGGAGACTCACTTGAACCTGGGATGCAGAGGCTGCAGTGAGATGAGATCACGCCATTGCACTCCAGCCTGGGCAACCAGAGTGAAACTCTGTCTCAAAAAAAAGAGTAAATATGATTTTTCAAATATGAAGCCATGCTTCTTAAGAAGTGTGTCAAGTTACCCTAAATAAGTCCATGAAATTGTTTGAATCAATTTGAATTTAGACATTAAAAGAGTAAATATAAATTTTCAAATACAAAGCTATGCTTCTTAAGAAATGAGTCGGCCGGGCACGGTGGCTCAAGCCTGTAATCCCAGCACTTTGGGAGGCCAAGACGGGCGGATCACGAGGTCAGGAGATCGAGACCATCCTGGCGAACACGGTGAAACCCCGTCTCTACTAAAAATACAAAAAAAAAAACTAGCCGGGCGAGGTGGCAGGCGCCTGTAGTCCCAGCTACTCGGGAGGCTGAGGCAGGAGAATGGCGTAAACCCGGGAGGCGGAGCTTGCAGTGAGCTGAGATCCGGCCACTGCACTCCAGCCTGGGCGACAGAGCCAGACTCCGTCTCAAAAAAAAAAAAAAAAAAAGAAATGAGTCAGGTTACCCTAAATCAGTCCATAGAAATTATTTAAGTAATTAAAATTTTTTGTGCCCTTCAGTTGGGTATTACTGAAAAAGTTTTATAGTGGAAATGAAATTACCATGATAGAATGATT